CAGAGAAAAGCCAATATGCCAGGCCTAGCAACCCCAAGTCCTGACTGAGAGGCCAGATAAGAAGGAGCCACTGACCTCTAGAAACATGAAAAATCAAAGAGTAAGGACACCCTCTAAAGAAAATAATAAATCCTTACCAATGAATACCAACCAAAATACAAAGATTGAAATGACAGATGAAGAATCTCAAATATGGATTATACGGAAGTTCAATGAAATAAAAGAGAAAATAGAAACCCAACACAAAGAAACCACAAAAACAATGCAGGAAATAAATGTCAAATTTACTAAGAAATCAAATTATTAAAAAAATTAAACAGAATTTGTAGAAATGAAAAATACATTCAAAGAAATACAAAACAGAGTGGAAGGCCTTAAGAAAAGGCTGTATCAGGCACAAGAAAGAATCTTAGACACACTTAGATGCAAGAATGGTTCAACATACAAAAATCTTTTAATGCGATTCACCACATCAAGAACAATGACCTTATGATCTCTCAAAAGATGCCAAAAAAAGGTTTTTATAAATTGTTATTTTAAAAAATGCACTGAAGAATATTGATACTGGGTCCCTGGGGATCACAGTTTGTGTATGTATTTAAATTCAGAAAATATATGAAATATTGACATAAATTATTAATTTAATTTGATTCCTTTTTATTATATTTCCCCTCAACTCCACTCTTATTTTCTTGATCAAATACATATAACTTTTTAGTCAATACAACTGTCTAATTTTACTGCTAATATATTCATTTTTGATAATTTTGATAAATCTGTACTGTCTCTACAGTGGCTATTATCATATGTTGCCATTTAGGTATGAATTTAAATGAATTTTTAAAAATAAAATTGAAATTTTAATTATTCACTTACATTAGCACCATTTTAAGTGTTCAATAGCTATAGTGACTAACTACCATTGGACAAGCCTGATTTAAAACATTTGTATCATCATAGAAAGATCTTTTTGACAGTAGTGATCTTGTCAATTTTATATATTAAAATTATTTTTGAATCTATCATCTGTTTGTTAATTTTGTTCCTAGTATCCTTCATTGGACAGCAATTTTTACTATTTTTATTTTCATATTTATTAAAATGTTACCTTTTCATTCATTTTTTAAAGATTTGTTTATAGATGTTCTTCTCCATTATAGGTTGTAAAGATATTCCTCAACATTTTATTGTATTATTATTACATTACTTTTTTTACATTTTGTTCTTAAATGTTTCTGAAATACATCTTGTTATACGTGGAAGGTAGGGATCCAACTTTAACTTCTTTTAGTAAACCCCTATTTCCAACAACATATCCAATTTAATCTGCCCTTCATTGCTTAAGTTGGTCATCACCTGCCATATGTTTGTGTGTATATCTTAGCTCATATATGTATATATAAACATATCTTGTCTGAGTTTTCTATTCATTTCAACGTACATATCTTTTATCATTACCTATTTTATGTTTAGTACTATTACTTTGTATGTAGTTTAATATCTAGCTGTTTTGTTCACCCTTTTTGTTATTGTATTCAAAGTTGAGTTCCCACCAAAAAAGGTATCTTTATTTATGTTAGTTTTACTATGATTTCTTAAAAGGTCAGATAAATTTTTATTAGGATATATATATTTGGGATAATATTGACATTGTTGGTATGCTATGCCATCTCACACATGGCATATGCTATGCCATCTCACACATGACCATGAGAACATCCTTCCATTTATTCAAATAGTTTGTATTCTCTAACAGAGTTTCAACATTTCCTCCTTAATACCCTCCTTTTATTATCAACTTGCAAATATCATTTTAAGTTTGCCTATTACGGGTAATTAATGGAACTTCTTTTTGCTCTAATCTAATATAAATATTATTTAATATGTGTTTATATGTATATACAAAAATATATAATATAGATGCACAAACAACATATTGACATATACAGATTATGTAGACATTTACATATAAATTACGTTTGTGTATATATAGATATACATATTGTATGGTTAATTTTATGTGTTGACCAGGCTGGCTCATGGTATCCAGATATTTGGTCAAACATTATTCTGATGTTTCTGTTAATATCTATTTTGAATAATATTAGCATTTAAAATTGATGGACTTTGAGTAAAGAAGATTGCCCACTAGTGTAGCTGGGCCTCATCCAATCCGTTGAAGGATGAAGGTCCGAACAAAGACTGACCTCCCTGAAGCAAGAAAGAATCCTGCCAGTAGAACATATGTAGATTCAACTGCAACTCTTCCCTGATTCACCAATCTCCAGACCCATCCCAGCAGATTTTAAGCTTACTGATAAGTCTCTACAAATGAGGCAATTCTTTAAAAGCTCTCTTTCTCTGTCTCTCAACATACACACACACACACAAAAATAAAAACACATAATTTTCCCTCTCTCTCTGTATTTACATTTTCATATATATACATTTAGGTTTAATTATTGCAGAACACATTAGGATAGTCACCCCTAAATGTAAATAGCCTATATGTTCCTCATTAGGAGAGAACTTTTTAAATGTTATATGTTCATAAATTCAGTAGTAAGCAGGCATATAAGATTTGGGTAACTTTTTAAACATTAATGTGGAAAATTCTGTAAGATATATTGTAAGTGAAAAATTTAGATGCAAAATATTGTGTAAGATATGCTTCAAAATGTGTATTTAAGAGAGGGAAGAGAAGAATGTGTACAAAATTTACTTATGTATTCACATTTTTAAGAATTTAAATAAGAACTTCAGTTTCCTCCTTTATAAAGAGGGAACTGGAATGGGAAGATTTTTCACTGTACTATATTTATTTTTCTACTTTAAAAAATGCTTAACCATGTAAAAATATTTCCTATGTGAAAATTAAATGTATGTTTAAAACAGTGTAGTTCCTTTCTAATCATTCACCTCATCTGATCTAAGTCATCACCATATTATTAAATTGCACTGCTATATATAGTTATTTCATCTAAAATCTGAGGAGTTGTTTCTGATACCTCTTTTCAGACACCGTGTCTGTCGGCAGGTCCTAATGTCTCTGCCATCAAAATGGATGTCAGGTTCTGTTAATTCTTTCTACTACCAGTTCCTCTTCCCACCTTCCCCCAGACTGAGTCGCCAACATCTCTTGTGCCTGATTCTGCAAAACCTCCAAACTGCTATTCTTGCTTCTACACTTGCCTCTCAGATCAATTCCCCACATAGTAGCCAGAATGACTTCAGACTTCAACTGTCCACATTAAGATTGCACACGAATTATATTGCACACTGAGAATAATGATCAAATATCACACCCTCAGTAGCCTCTGCCTACCTCTCTGACGTTGCCTTGTACTTTCCCTCCACATGCCCAGAGCTCTTTCACCACCATGGGCTCCTTTCTGTTCCTTCCTGCACCAGCTCTATCCTGTCTGTGGGCTTTGCCCTTGTTCTTCACATTGCCTGGAATGCTCTTCCCTCATCATTCAGACCTCCACGGAAAGATCTTTTTTAACAACCCAATCTAAAGTAGCAACTTCCTTCTCCCATTCACTCTCCAACACACTACTCCGTTATATTCTTTCATTTTGAGATATTTTATTGCTTATTTTCTTTGCTCTTTGCTCACTGCCTCTACCAGGATGCCAAATCCTTGAGACCAAGGATCTGATATATCCCAATCAGTGCCTATTCGATGACCCATAAAATAAGTTTTCCAAATTAAAAGCACCCAAAATTTTTGTAAAATCAAGAAATACATTTCCAATTTTTATGTTTAGAAACATCTGAGGAAGTTTGTGACATTTTCCCAAGAAACAGAACTATCGTGGTTGGAGCCAGGACTATAATCTGGTCCTTTTCTGTACCTGTGGGTATGGCTTTGTGCATCTCTGCGGTACTGTTTCTCTTTCTCTTCATTTTTTTTCTATTGTTTTATGTGTGCCTTTGTATTTGTTTCCTCTGTTCTCTCTTTTTCAGTTATCTTTTATTTCTAACTTTCTGCTTTCTTGGAATTTATCCTACAGATATATTTTCACCAAAGGAAAATAACATATATTCAGAGTTGCAGCACAGATTGTAATAGGAAAAAAAACTGCTAAAAACATTATCTCCCTCGCTTTACCTCTTTCTTCCACTTTTCAATATCTCTAACTGCATCTGTGGCTGACTTGAGCATAAATTTGAATGAAAGTATACCTGACTGTGTAGTGTATTTATTTTATAAAATTTGTTTGATATTTTACATTTAATGTCACTTAGAGTCATTTTTAATGTCTTACCAAAAACTAAATTATATGGATTTTTTATAATTAAATATTTTATATTATATTGTTTACTTAAAAACAAGAAAGGTCTTCATTTTGTTATCCCAGAACTCTGTAACCACATATTCAAGAAACCAAGAACACTATAGAGTATTTCTTCTTTTATTTGAGAGAACATACCACTAGAGAAACTGGTCCACAAGACACTAAAAAATTCTCTTATTTAAGGACAATTATTCCTGAAAAGTATTTTCAGCATAATATATTTTCTATCTAACTCTTCTGCACCAAAAATATGCGGATACTAACATACTTACCATTGCCTTAGTCTCACTATTTCAGTTCTTATTAAATGTCAATGGCTTCTTATCACTTACATAAATTGTATAATAAGATCTAAAATAGCCTCTCCAGGGTTACTACTTACATTATGCCTAATAAACACATTTGCCATTCCATTATCACTGTCACTGATAAAATGCCAAATTCAAAATCCTAACATGATTCTATGGGGCCTTCACTGGTACAGGTTTTGAATATTTAGTTCTTAAAATGTTCTTGTCTTTTTTTTTCCTAATTCTAGTTGACAGGCTAATAATTCCCATTGGTAGAACTCTGCAGACTTCGGGTAGCTATAAAACCCCAAAGCACATTCTGTATTGCATCATATATTAACAAAGCAGAATTCAGAATCTATAATATTCCAATGCGAGAACATATATTTAAGGACAAATTCTAGAATCATCAGCTAACCTCCCGTTTATCAGACAGAAAAGGAAACCTACTAGTTTTAGATCATTGGGCTCCTGGAGAGGTGAAATTTTTGGTCATTATTCATATTTAAATAAAATAGAGAAAACGAAGAAATTGGGGGAAGAGTCATACTATTTGGGATATTTGCTGCCTTGAAATTTATGAGAACAGAACAATGCTGCAGAAACAGAGTAAGGGTGAGTTCTAAATTCAGATGTATAGTACTTTCTACCCTGCTTCTCAAATAAACTTTATGCCTTGTCTGATGCTTAGTATTATTTTAAAGGTGCTAAACTCTAAGTTTCACTATTACAAAAAAAAAAATGAAAATAACAATGGCTTAGGGAGATTCACCATCTGGATTTTAATTTGAACATCATAAAAATGACTGTTTTTTCCTCTCATACATAAACCAAAGGTAGAGGGAGGAAGAGATCAAGAATCTGCCAGTCAATAATGGTAGGCTGAGTCTCATAAGCAAACTTCATTGACTTTACAAGTTTGCAAACCTCCTGGTTCCCAAACTCAGTTGACATATGTTTCTTTTCCTGTACATGATCCTAGCATTCAGCAATATGAACTAAGTTAGGGATTCTAAAATAAGAAAGACTTGATTCTCAAATCCTGGCTGAATTAGATTTAAAAAAAAAAAACTTTACGTAGACCCTTCCTAAAACCTCTACAAGATCTTATCCTCAAATCCACTCAGACTTAAGCAGTAACCATCTTCCCTGATATTAATCCCAGGGCAGTGACAAAAGACCTACTGACATAGTATCTATTTATCATTTTTATTGGAATTCATTTAATGACTGAATGTTTTCTTCCTTAGTTCAGTTTAAGTGGACATGGATTAGGTCCTAATTATGTCATTTGGTCTTCATAGTCTATACTGTGGAACAAAAAGAATAGATATATTACTTCTCTTTTATAGATGCAAAATACCAGCATTAAAAGACTAAGTGACTTGCCTAAGGTTATACAGTTCCCTAAATACAGCTATATAATAGTAACTCAGCAAGGTAGAATGATTTCCAAACCAGAGATCTACTTTAGAGCACAAAAATAAGTCATTTCATTTTTATCAAGATGAGTTAAAAAGAGAAAAAGTATGTGAGAAAATGTGATGTAATTAATGAGTGATTCAGATTGAGTATATTTCAAAAATGATAACATTTAGGAAGAAAAACTTAGCACTGGAGGGGGACGAAAGCATTTTCAACCTGTAGAAAAAGACACTGAAATGAATTACATGGGAAGCACCTACCCACGGTGTTCACTCTACCTTGAAGTGGGTAAAGCAATCCACTATCTCAGAATCAATGGAAAGATAAGCATTGAATATATTAAATAGGGCGTAGGTAGAGAACTAAGTGAAACATACTGGAGACTGAAAGAATGTGGAAAAATGAGAGAAAGAAGAAAGACAATGCAGGGAAGAAAGAAAAGAGAGGAGAAAAGTCAGGGATAAGGAAGAGAAATTGCAAAAAATAAAAAAATAAAAGAAAGTAACAGGAAACAAAAAAGCTAAAAATAAATGTAAAAGAATAAGATTTAAAAATGAGTGCGTGAAGATAGAATTAGCAGGAAGAGATTGGGAAAGATGAGAAATAAGAAAGAAGCAAGAGGAAATGAGTGGAGAAAGATAAGGGAGTGAGCTGTTAGGACAGTGATCAGGCTCCCAAACACTTGGCTTTGGGAGCTGGTCTGAGAGCAGTCTGGAATCTACACACACACAGTGTTACAGCTGTGTGCCTGTCTACACTCTGAGAAATAGGGGAGAGGTATGGGCGCCCTCTCGACCCATGCATCTTTAGCACCATATGTCTTTCTGTATCAGGTGAGATAACAAAGAAGATTAGAGATGGTGAAAATCATTTCGTTTTCTGTCAGCCTACAATGACAATGCTTCTTTGTCTTATCTGATTAGAATAAGAAGCTTGTCCATGTTAGGTAACAGGGAAGAGAAGTGGATAGTAGAAAATAAAAGCAAAGGAAGATTGGGAAAGACTGTAACTCTCAGGTGCTTCCCGTGTCTTGGAATTGTCAACCTGAAGAAGCACGAAACAACCATAAGCAAGCACCTAGAGTACACAAAATGTGAAAATAGGAGAGAGAGCTTTTAATCTACTGTTCTAAGCACAGGTTTCTGTAGGCAGAGTGAGGTATGAATGTGGAGGCCAATAGGTGTCTAAATGAGTAAAAGAGAAAAGGGAATTCCTAAGGTAATTTGAAGGGCACCAAAGATTTTTTTCCTATTTCAATTTGCACGGACTCACTATGTATGTGTTTAGATAGATGTGAATATGTATTTGTAAAGTATGTTCCCATGTGTTGTAAGTACTTGTTTCACATAATTTGGCTACTAATTACAAATGTTATTAATCACATAAAACAAATGTTCTGATATTTCCTAATAGCTATGCTGTAAAAATGCCAATGTATTGAGTAAATTTCCCACTAGTTCTTCTTCTACACTTTTAAGGCTGATTTTTCTGTGTTCTTTCTCTGTTATCCTTCTTTCTAGCTTCTCTTTCTGGAGATGCCATTAATAATTTCTTTCAAATTTGAGTTAGGAATTTATTCCCATCTATTCTCCCTCCACCAATTCAATAGCACTATTTTTTTAATGATATATTGAAATATAGTCAGCACATCATAAAATTCACCATTCAAAGTGTACAATTTGGTGGTTTTAAGTGTATTTAGAATTGTGGAAGCATTGACATGATATAATTCTAGAACATTTATTTCATCACACCAGAAAGATACCTCATACTCATTATGTCAATCTCTGTTCCACCTCTGGGCCTACGTAGCCATTATTCTGCTTTCTGCCTCTGTAGATTTGTCTCTCTAGACATTTTCATAAATTGAATCAAACAATATGCAGTCTTTTGCAACTGGCTTCTTTCATATAACAGTGTTTCTGAGGTTCATCTATGTTACAGCATATATCAATACATCATTCCTTTTTATTACCTAATTGTATTCTGCTGTATCCATAGCACTTCTGAAAAATAAGTACTACTTGTAATAAAAAACCAAGAGTAACATTTATATATGTTACATTATAGTACTTGTTATAATTAACAATATTTCATCCTCTAAATCATTTATTTCAACAGTGAACATGTGCAGTATCATAGTATGAGCATTTATGTATTAAATGTTTGTATAACTACATTAATATAAAAATTAGAAAATAATCACAAATATGAAATATTTTAAAATACACCTTACAATAATATGGAGAGAAGTGTCATTATTTTTATGCATCCCAATGGATTATCTTGTGCACCTCCTGAGGTGAGCACATTTTAATTTGGAGACTAATGTACATACTCTATCTTAATTCTGGGTTTCTCCAACATAAATAGAATTCTTATTTAGACAATGTTACAACCAGAAAAGAGGAACTATTTACACAAACAATGTCATAGTTATAATATTTATTGCCTAAATAAAATATCACCAATTGATGAAGACACTAATTAACAATTTCCTAAAAAGTTTAAACCAAGAATACATACCCTTTTTTCCTATCACCTACTACTGAGAGAAAATAAGAAAACTCATTGCAAATTTAAAACTTAACTGCAATTGCATTATTCTTCTCATCTCTCAAATGAGTATATTAGATTTTATGTTCTGTACAGCTAATTTCAGCTCTACTGTATTATGATTTTATTGAGATAGTCAAAATATTTTTATATGCTCTGATAAGTTTTTTATGATGCAGAAATATTTGTGAGAGGGATATCATTTAGCTATCATTCTGGGATCTGAGGAAGAAGTAGATTATGGATATATGGTGAACAAATGAGACTGAATTAGTACTAGAGTTTAAGAACAGGATGTGAAGCAGATGCAAAATTGGTACCCAGCTAAGGGAGTAACTAGAGGAATTCCTCTAAGTAAGGAGAAATGTATAGATCTTGTATGAGAGCCTGGTAATGAGATTGGTGCAAGAATGCACAAAGCACCAAAGCACAACGATGTGACGACAACTAGCAAGGCACCAATTCAGAAACCAGGCAGATAGATAACAATCTGGAACTATAGGAATCACACTACAATCAGTTCTATAGGAACTGAAGGAGAAAAACAACCACAGAAGCAATTTGATCTGTGACAATGAAGAGAAGGGACTATAACTCAGCAACTAATATAAATTAGAGAAGATAAATCACCACAAATGGCAATAAAACAAACTAACTAACTAACTAAATGGACAACCTTGATTTAAGTTCTGCTTTAATCAGGAAATTTGTAGCATATCTAAAGCAATGTCACCCAAAATCTCACAGAAGTGCAGTTACCTAGAAGCGTGTGGTTAAGCGGGAATGGAAAGTGTGGGTGGAACAGTGTCTCAGTGAAAAATCAGGAGAATGAAGGAGAGAGGAGTTAACCAGGGTACACAAAACAACATAAGTTGTTTTCAACTAGAGCATGTTAGTTGTGGCAAATAATGTTTTTATCTGACGAGGAACTATGAAACAAAGGAAAAGGTGCTTGTAACATATAACATTTTCCTCTATTCTGCAGAGTGAGAAGTGATGGAGACAGAAAATGACACAGTGGTGACAGAATTCATCCTCCTTGGTCTGACACAGTCTCAAGATGCTCAACTCCTGGTCTTTGTGCTAGTTTTGATTTTCTATCTCATCATCCTCCCTGGAAACTTTCTCATCATTCTCACCATAAGATCAGACCCGAGCCTCACGGCTCCCCTCTATTTCTTCCTGGGCAACTTGGCCTTCCTGGATGCATCCTACTCCTTCATTGTGGTTCCCAGGATGCTGGTGGACTTCCTCTCTGAGAAGAAGGTAATCTCCTACAGAGGCTGCATCACGCAGCTCTTTTTCTTGCATTTCCTTGGAGCAGGGGAGATGTTCCTTCTTGTCGTGATGGCCTTTGACCGCTATATTGCTATCTGTCGGCCTTTACACTATTCAACCCTCATGAACCCTAGAACCTGCTATGCATTATTGTTGACTCTGTGGCTTGGAGGTTTTGCCCATTCCATTGTGCAAGTGGCCCTTATCCTGCACTTGCCTTTCTGTGGCCCAAATCAGCTGGATAACTTCTTTTGTGATGTCCCACAGGTCATTAAGCTGGCCTGCACTGACGTCTTCGTGGTGGAGCTCCTGATGGTCTCCAACAGTGGCTTACTCAGCCTCCTGTGTTTCCTGGGGCTTCTGGCCTCCTATGCAGTCATCCTCTGCCGTGTAAGGGGGCACTCCTCTGAAGGGAAGAACAAGGCTATCTCCACATGCACCACCCACATTATCATTGTGTTTCTCATGTTTGGACCTGCTATTTTCATCTACACTCGCCCCTTCCGGGCTTTCCCAGCTGACAAAGTGGTTTCTCTCTTCCATACAGTCATCTTTCCTTTGATGAACCCTGTGATTTATACACTTCGCAACCAGGAAGTGAAAGCTTCCATGAGGAAGTTGTTAAGTCAGCATATGGTTTGCCAAATGGAATAGAAGAATTAGAAAAACAAGAAAGGAAAAGTCCAGTTGAAAATAGTTAAATATTTTCTTCATTCATGCATTGAATCAGTCAGTCACTTAGCAAATACTTCATTTATTAAGTACTTCCCATTTTCAGGCACTCATCTAAGCATATGAATGAGACAGGTAAGATTCCAGTTCTTGTAGGGTTACATTCAAGTGGATAAAGAGGGGTTGAACTATTAAATTTTATAGAAATCATAGTATCAGAAAGAGATAGTGTTCTGTAGCAAGTAAAAAAATAGTACTCTGCTAGAGATTATCTGGGGAGGTGTTAATTATCTTACTTTTTGTTGTCCAGTAAGGTCTTCTTGAGTGATGTGTAGCTGATACCAAGATGATTTTAAAGAAACAAACTTGCAATTATCTTGGACAAAAATTCTAGGCAGAGAGGATGACTAGTCGAAGGATCTACAGTTATTATGAGCTTGGTGCATTTGAAGACCATAAAGAGGATAGAATAGCTGTAGTGTAGTTAGTGAGTGTGAGAATGGTAAGAATTAAAGTGATGTTTGTAGGGACAAAATCATATAGGCTATTTTAGGCAATGATAGTAAATTCTATTGTTTTCAAATTTCAAAAAGAGACCATTGAAAGACATTAATCAGGAAAGTACCTATCTAACGTTTCCTATTTGACTTAAAGCAAGATCCTCAAGATTCCAGATGGAGGGCTATGAGTATTAAAATTAAGTGGAAACTATCATGCTCTTAAATATTTTATTTTGTGGGCACTTAAAGACCTAGTTGTTTTTGTCTAATTTGTTAGGGAGAGGAAAATAAAACTTTCATATTTTATCAAAAATTGCCATGAAAAAAATTAACACAAGTTTTGTGGTTATTACTAGTAGAATATTCCTTTTTAAAAAATTATACAGAGGAATTTGTAAGGAAACTACTTATAAATGAGTTCACCTTGAATGCAGTGATGACACCTATAAGGTATCAATCATTCTTTGGGTGCAGATAACTAAACCATATTGGTTATTTTTTAAATAAATATATAAGGCATTAGATGCTTATAAATTATTAGAAGTGCTTTAAGACCAGGCTATAGATTTGGCGTCCTAAAATAAATCTTAAAACATTAGAGTAAATTGGCCTATATAAGGAGCTAATGTCAACATAGCAATTATGAATGTGGCACATATAGAAATCATCTTTTGACCGCCAACTGCAGAATCACAGCATTTGAACCATGACCAATGATCAGGAAAAGACCCCATAGTTGTTCTAGTGCTCTTAGATAAATCCCCACACAAAATGGAAAACTTACATAGTCCAAGCCTACTTCCTTCATTTCTAAATTTAAATCTTATGAGAGTCAGAAGTTCTAAGAATATATCTAGATCTGATTTTAAACTATTATTGAAGTCTATGAATGAGTCAGAGATAGATTGAGTCTTATGAAGGCTATAAATCAGCTTCAGTTCTATAAAATTCCAGGTAAGATTAAGACAGGGTTATTCAACTTTGGCACTACTGGCTTTTTGGACTGCATAATTCTTTGTTGTGGAGGGCTGTCCTATGCATTGTGGGTTGTTTAGTAGCCTCCCTTATTCTACACACTAGGTGCCTGTAGCATCTCCTCATTTGTAACAACCAAAAATATCTCTACATATTGTCAATGGACTCTAATGGGCAAATTTTCCCCAATGAGAAACAGCATTAAGGGTATTTATTTCCACTACATTGATCTTACAGTGAAATGGTGAACTTTCTTTAGGGAAAGTAACATGAACTGGAGCCTATACATTAAATAATAAATATCCAAATTTAATCTAAAAATCATTAGAAACATCAGAAGACTGAAAGATATTATACAAATATAAAAGAAAAAAGATAGATAACCGAAATATAAATTCTGGATAAAAGATTATCCAGAGTATGAAAGTGAATAGCAATAACATTACATTAACAATGTCTAGATATTCAAGATAGAAAAAGTATAGTAAATAGATAAAATGAGAGTGAATTTCACCAATTGAAATCCATAAGAAGAACTAAATTAAATTTTAGATCTAAAAATTTCTGAAATTAAATATTTGTTAGATGAGTTTAAAATCAGATTAAACACAGAAGAATACTATAGAATGAATTGGAAATTAAATCAATAGAAATAATAAAATTAAAATGCAAACAAGAAAAAAAGGAAAATACAGGAAAGAATATTAAAGATATGTGAGATACAATGAAAATACTGGTGGGATTTAAACTCCATGTGTGTCTATGGTTCTCCTGGTTAATGCCTCTCTTAGGACCCCTAATGACTCTGCTTTTAACACGCATTTTCAGATAGTACACTCTCCACTACTTAATACCATTCATACACAACCAAATTTGAGCCCTTACTGTTTCTCTCCAATGTGATTCCTATCCTGCCTCTACTCTAACTTTTAAGACTGTCTGTGTTCAGCTGTTCTTCCCTAACAGCCCTCAACTGGACTCTTAGGCTCTTAGGCAGGGACAACTCTATGACCCTAAGTCAGCAGGAAGCAGTTACAGAAGAACAGACTGTCATGCAAACACCCCAGTTTCTGAGTCCACTGTTAAGAATGTCAATTCTAACCAAAGAAAAGGGGGCATGAAAGGACAACCTTGCTGATAAACTATCTAACAGAGAAAACGTGGGGGGGAGGGGGGAAATCACAGCACATAATGGTTACTTTATTTGCTTAACCACCTATGGCTTAACTTGTCTCTGATATTTATGGTATATTAGTATGAGACATTTACTTATATAAAATCTCAGTACTTCTAATTTCTAGATTTAGATATTTTGAAAAATTAGTAAAGATATTTGATGTCTCTTATTTCTCCCAAAACAAATTCCAACAAAAATAAACACATAAATTAATTTTTGTTTAAAAAAAAAAAGGAGTTTGTTTTAACAGCACTTAAAAAGGACTGAGCAGACAGCAGGGGAAAGACCCTCCCGCACATCCACCAGAACACATACCAAAAGGACTGAAAAAGCCAGACTAGCAGAGAAAAGCAACAAACACAGCTGTTATCATTTTGCAGCAATAACTGCTTTATTTTAACCCTTTACTCCCCCAATAAAAGCCCAAACCCCTTAGCCACAGACAGCAATCCATCTTTCTGTCTTCCATGCAGTGCATTTTTCTCTCTTGGAAAGTAAAATAAACCTCTTTCTTTAAAATCTATCCTTATTTTTGTGTCAGAATACTTCTCACCCCCTGCTGTCAGTTCCCACCCTACCAACCTTTATTTTATTGATGAGGTTGTTAGTAATGTACCCTCTTTTATTCCTACTTCTGATAATTTATTTTATTCTCTCTCTCACTCTCCCCTTACTGTGTGTGTGTCTGTGTGTGTGTGTCAGTGTGTCTGTGTGTGTGTGTCAGTGTGTGTCTGTGTTTTGCATATGTATGTCTTATTTGGTCAACATACTAAGAAGTTTATGGATTTTTATTGATCTCAAAGAACAAGCTTTTGATTTCATTTATTTTCTTTTCTTAATTTTATTGTTTCTGCGCTCATGTGTATTTTTCCTTCATTCTGCTTGTTTTGGATTTAATTTGCTCTTTTTTCCAGTTTTTTTCCTTAAGACAGATGCTTAGGTTAATATCTTGACCCCTTTCTTTATTTTTAATGTATGAATTCAATCCTAGAGAGTTTCCTGTAAACACTTATTTAGGTATATCTACCCAAATTAGAGAAGTCATATTTTCATTTGTGCTGTTTGAAATTATTTTTCAGAAACCTTTTTTCAGACTTTCTATTCGAAAAATAAGTTATTTAGTGCTAAGTTTTAAAGTTTCTGATTATTTCCAATTTTACAGATATATTTGTTATACATTTCAGTTTAATTTCATTATAGTTATGAAATATGCTTTATATGATTTCTATTCTGTTAAATATGTTAAAGTGTGTTTCATGACCCAAAATACTATTTATTAAAAGTTACATTTGCATTTAAGAAGAATATATATTATTCTGTTGTTGTATAGAGTATTTTATAACTGGGTATATATAATTGGGTGCTATTGTTGTTGTTTTAATAGACCTTATATTTAGAACATTTGAATTTGTTTCTAACTTTTTGTCTTCTTTTGGATATTTAAGCTTTATTTTAAGTAATTATAATTATTTATATTCATTGTTTATTATTACTTAAATTTATTCATATTTATAATGTTGGCTTCTTAGATATCTCTTTTTCTTATAGTTTTTCTACTAGACATTTTAACTTATCACAGTTTAACATCAAGCAATATTATATCTGTCCAGGTATCACATAAAAAATTAAAACAAGTATACTTCTATTTCCTTAATCTCACCCTTTATGTTTATTTGCTTTATATGAAATGTCTATTGAGATAATATATTCCAGAATATATTGTATTACTTTTGCTTTGCACTAGCATTTGTCTTTTAGAAATATTTATATACTTTTAAAAAATTGTCTTTTTTTCTCTTCATGTTTCATTGTACAATTCTATTGCTATCTTCAAGGTCACTAATCTTTTCTTCTAAAATGTCATTTCTTTCATGAATGCCATCCAATACATTTTTCACTTCTCCAATAGAATTGTCCAATTCCATATTTCAACTTGGATGTTTTTATATCATTCATGACTCTACATAACCATTGTATACTAAGAGTTCAGCTTCTAATAATGATCAAGGTAAATTACCTTATCCACAATGATGGTACCCTTCCTTACTTTCAAGTCTCTTGAAACTAAAAGTGACTGAGTGGCAGCAAAACCCCGTGAAGTTAACAGAAATCTTACTGCATCTCCTGGTAAAAGCATGCTCCAGAATTACTAGAACTACGACGCTAAAGTTGTGAGAATAGAAAGCAAAAATTCTAAAGTGAGTTATAGGGAGTAACAGTGCATGGGAAATATCCTAGTTCCCAACCATGTAGACTATTTATATTATGGACAAAATAGAATATAATATTAATTTTTAAAAATATATACTACAATTTAGAGGAAGCCATCCCAATATTAGAATAATTTGCTAATATAATATCAGTATATATTTTATATTATCTAAAAATTGATGCTTCAGCTATCATTTCAAATAACTGTTCCAATGTTCTATTAGCACAGCAGCTTCTCTGTTTTTTCTTTTATGCAGTAAGTGATAGAGCCAGCAGATCCATAATTAATCAACTCCTACCTCTCTTTTGCTGAAAAGTAGGGTTATTTTACTAAGTTATAACAAACTCTTCTTTGATTAAACAGTTTATATGCCCTCACATGGTAGTAATGGTCAAAATTCTGTGGACATGAAAAGGAAACCTATACCTATTACATATTTTGATTCCTATAACAACAAATCATGGTCTCACTGAAAATGGAATGGGTCAATTTAACAAACTTGTTATGAGTGGGTCATTAGTCTCCTGAAGAGATGTACCAGATTAGAGGTTCAAGTTAATTTTATTGATGACAAGTTGGATATTTATTGCACCATAACAAAATCAGCTTTGGTGAGTAGGAGGCCATGCAGTGGGACCATGCACAG